GATGGTACCCACTTTTAAGATCAATCTCACTAAAAATACAAACACCATGCAACTCGTCTAACATATCATCTAGCTTAGGTATAGGGTGAGCCCTACAATCCACGCACATCCTCCAAGTTCCATCATTCTTTAGCACCAATAGTACAGGTACAACACATGGGCTCATGCTCTGTAAAGATGGATAATGATAGCTTGGTTAAAGTCACTGGTATTGGAAATGTGTCTTTGGAGATGAGTAATGGTTCCAGGTTGGTTCTTAAAGATGTGAAGCATATTCTAGACATCGTTTAAACTTGATAAGAAAACACGATAATGATGGGTATGGCAATACCATTAGTAATGACCAGTGGAAGCCCACTCAGGGCGTTATAGTTGTGGCACGAGGTAAAAAGGTCTCTACATTGTATATTTTGCGGGCAAAGCTCTCCATTGACATTGTTAATGCAATGGTGCGATGGAGAATGATGGTACAGTAGAGTTGCGGCATAAGATACTTGCTCACCTGAGTGAGAAAGGATTAGCTATATTGGGAAAGAAAAGTGTACTAAGTGGACTGAAAAGTATATATCTGAAAAGGTACTTTCACTATTTGTCAGGGAAACATAATAGAATTTCTTTCAAGAATTTCCCCCTTCAAGAAAGTCAGAAATATTGGATTTGGTACATTCAGATTTATGTGATCCTATGAAAATGGAAACACTTGGAGGCTCTAGTTACTTTATAACCTTCATAGATGATCATTCAAGGAAACTATGGGTCTAAACCATGAAGACAAAAGATCAAGTGTTGAATGTGTTTAAGCAATTCCAGGCCCTGGTTGAGAGATAAAATTGGGAAAAAGCTGAGGTTTATCCGAACAGATATTGCAGGAGAGTTTCTGGTCCTTTTGATGATTATTGCAGACAACAAGGAATTCGACATCAAAATACAACTCCAAAGCTCCTCAGTTGAATGGCATAGTTGAAAGGATGAACAGAACACTGGTGAGAAAGTGAGATATTTACTTTCTCAAGCCCAGTTGCCAAGATTCTTTTGGGGTGAGGCATTGAGCACGTTCATACATGTGTTGAATCTTACACCTTATGTTCCCTTACAATATGATGTACCAGACATAGTTTGGAATGGTAAGGATGTTTCCTATGATCACTTGCATGTGTTTAGGTGTAAAGCATTTGTGCATGTTCTTAAAAATGAAAGGTCCAAACTTGATGTGAAAACATGACAATGTATATTCTTGGTTATGTGGATTATGATCCAGTAGAGATGTCGTATTTGTTGAAGATTAGACGATTCAAGATATTGAGAAAATGGATAAATCTGTACCTCAAAAGGGTTATAGTTTGAGTGATTTGGATCTGGTTCCTATGAAGAATTTGCCAGCTTAGGTTGAGAATAATGTTCAGGATAACCACCAGGGTATAGGTAATGTTGATGTTCCCTTACAGGCTCAGGCATATGATGAGACTGATGAGTAGTTGATAGCGTCATATATTACACTAGAAGTTCCACCGGAGGTTCTACTCGGGAGGTCTACTAGAGATCGACATCCTTCCGTATGGTATTCAAGATGAACATAAGACATAGTGGGTTGAGGCAATGCAAGATGAAATACAATCATTACATGACAACCACACCTTAAAGGTAGTAAAGATACCTAAAGCTAGAAGAGCTTTGAAGAACAAGTGGATCTACAGGGTGAAACAAAACGAGTTCACTTCGCTACCATGGTATAAAGTTAGATTGGTTGTAAAGGGGTTTGATAAGAGAAAATGTGTTGATTTTGACGAGATATTCTCTCCAGTTGTTAAAATGTCATTTAGTCGTATTGTTCTCGACCTAGCAGTTAGTCTTGACTTAGAATTTGAACAAATGGATGTGAAAACGGCCTTCCTTCATGGTGATTTGGAAGAGGAGATTTATATGGACCAGCTAGAGGGTTTTAAAGTGAAAGGAAAAGAAGATTTTGTGTGTAGGCTGAAGAAAAGTCTTTATGGTCTGAAGCAAACACCGAGACAGTGGTATAAGAAGTTTGAGTATGTTAAAAACAACTTCCATCGCTGTGTATTTGTTCTGAAATTCTCTGATGATGATTTTATCATTTTATTACTCTATGTTGACGATATGTTGATTGTTGGAAAGAATGACTCAAGAATTGACCGGTTGAAGAAACAATTGACTAAGTCTTTTACTATGTAGGACTCAAGACAAGAAAAAAAGATCCTTGGCATAAGAATCAGTCGTGATAGGAGTGCTAAGAAGTTATATTTGTCACAAGAGGAGTACAATAAGAAAGTGCTTGAGAGGTTTAGTATGGACAAGGCTAAAGTCGTTAGCTCTCCTCTTGCTACCCACTTTAGATTAAGCATTGAGGAATGTCCTTCTACATATAAGGAAAAAGAAGACATGGAAAGTGTTATTTACGCCTCAGTAGTAGGATGTTTGATGTATGCAATGGTCTGAACAAGACTAGATATGGCCCATACAGTTAGTGTAGTTAGCCTTGTCCTATCAGATCCAGGAAGAGAGCATTGGATACAGTTAAGTAGATCATGATGTATCTTCGAGACACTTCCAGTTTGAGATTTGGTTTTGGAAAAGGACAACTGTTGTTAGTTTGGTACACAGATGTGGATATGGTAGGAGATATGGATACCCGCAAGTCTACATCGGGTTATTTGATTACTTTTCCAGGTAGGGCTGCAGCTTAGCAATCATAACCTTAAAAATGTATTGCCTTTTCTACGACAAATGCAGAATTTATTGCAAAAACAGAGGTAACTAAAGAGTTTTTATGGGCAAAGAAATTCATGAGAGAACTTTGTTTCAAGTAGTAGAGGTATGTGATATTTTGTGATAGCAAGAGTGTTATTCATCTTGCTAGGAATTCCAGTTTCTATTCAAGATAGAAGCACATTGATGTACAATATCATTGCATAAGGGATGCGTTGAATGAGAAGTTGTTGGAACTTGAGAAAGTTCATACTGATCATAATGATTCCGATATGTAGATGAAGACACTACAAAAAAAAAGCTTGAATATTGTTGTTCAATTGCTGGAATGTTGTATTCCTCACCATAGTCGAAAGGGGGAGATTTGTTTTGTTATTTCCTCTTTTGAGAAGGAGAGTCCATATTTGAGATTTTATATTATAGCCCAAAGCCCAATAGGTTATTAACCCTAATAATGAATATAATTTACAAGAAGATAGGAGAAAATAGGAATCCAACCCGTTTTTGAAAATAAAGGAAAACATTTTTTTTCTTTGAGCCTAGATTTCATCAAAGTTCTGATCCCGAGTCATTCGTGGTCTGATCAAGCTAAAATTTGGAGGAGCGGTTCACAAGACATAGAACTACAATCTGAGTGATGGAAATAAATTTTGAGCTCGGGAACATTGGTTAATGTGCATGAACAGTAGCCGAATTTGTTGGTATATTTTTCCTATTTCATTTTGTTTTGCCAAGATCTTTGTTATCTTGAAGAAATTTATGTTGTAGCATCTAGTTGTGATTAGTGAGGACTTTGTATACCCATTATTTAATTGATAGTTGAGGCTTTGATTGGACTAGATCCCGTGGTTTTTATTCCTCACGTCAGGAAAGTTTGTCCAAGTAAAATAATTGTGTTTGTTTTTGTGGTTTGGTGTGATTGATTTTTTAAAGAATATTTATAGCATATAGAATTGTCAGGAAATGCATTTTACTTATTTACTTTTGGGAGAAGAATTATTCTGATGTATGTTTATTTGTTTGCATATCTCCTGGCAGAAGCTTTAACAATCATCAGAGGGTTAGCTGTCGAGGCCAATAAAGAAAAAATTGAGCTGATGTCTGAGGTAGCTTGGCTAAAAATAGATGTTGAATCACTAGAAGAGCAAGTAAATTTTGCTGGAAAAGAGGTCGTAAAGAACTACATGAACTACTTCAAGGAAACATAAGACAGTGGCAAGTTTGCAAGCTACTTTTGTAGCTGGGGTTTAGGTCAAGTGTTGAAGCATATCCGAGTGAAGCAGTTAGAATGGGACATTTACTTCTTGGAGGAGGAGTTTGAGCATCATATAGTGGAAGTACCTTCTACAATTGAAGTAATTGATCCTAGAGTCGATCCGGATGAGTAGAGCCTCGTAGATTTTTTTCCCGTTTCATATTTTGTAATTTTTTGGGCTTCACTCAATTTGTACTTCTTTCCAAGTGTCAATTAAATATATATTTGTGAACTATGCCTCTTTTCTTTTATTTGCAAAGTAAAACAATTTAATGCAAGTATGTCTCCGATGAATAACGGTCAAATCAACTTAATAATCCAAGTACTTGGTTGGCTTTGGATAACGTGAACTAGCCAGGTGATGGCCTCGGACGAAGTTATAGTATTTAACTTGGCTTTAGATAAAATTAAAGTAACTATAGACATTTAACATTGATACTTTTGTTGTTATTAGTCCTATATTTTTGATATACAAAATTCTAGTTTAAGTTGTATTTTGCAAGCTAAGTAAAGCAAGGTGTTGCAGTGATTTAGCGGCTGTCAAACGTGTCAAGTGGTAGTAGGTAAGAATTTCAACTTAATAATCCAAGTACTTGGTTGGCTTTGGATAACGTGAACTAGCCAGGTGATGGCCTCGGACGAAGTTATAGTATTTAACTTGGCTTTAGATAAAATTAAAGTAACTATAGACATTTAACATTAATACTTTTGTTGTTATTAGTCCTATATTTTTGATATACAAAATTCTAGTTTAAGTTGTATTTTGCAAGCTAAGTAAAACAAGGTGTTGCAGTGATTTAGCAGCTGTCAAATGTGTCAAGTGGTAGTAGGTAAGAATAGTCTATATATGTTGCAGCCGATTTTACTCATTAGAATGAATTGATATTTTCTTCATCCTTTTGAGGTCAAATAACAACAGTGGTATCAGAGCTGAAAATCAGATCTTAGAAGGGTTGTAAAGAGTTGAAGAACCTGATAGGAACTTTCGTACTTGCCAAACATCTGAGAGTGAGTGATGGCTTCTAGTGGTTTTACAGCACCTTTGCCTTCAGTATTTATAGAAGAAAACTATGACTTCTGGTCTGCGAAGATGAAAGCATATTTGAAGGCATACGACCTCTGGGAGATCACAGAAACTAGGGCTGAACCTCCACCATTGAGAGTAAATCCCACCATTGCACAACTGAAGCAACATAGTGAAGAAATTGCTAAGAAGTTTAAGGCTCTTTCCTGTATCCAATCAGCTGTCTCAGATGCTATCTTCATTAGGATTATAACCTGCAAAACAGCAAATGAAGCTTGTGAAAATTTAAAGGAGAAATTTCGGGGCAATGAGTGAACCAGGCAAATGCAGGTCTTGAATCTGAGAATGGAGTTTGAAACTCTAAAAATGAAGGATTCAGAATCTGTTAAGGAGTTCTCTGATAGGTTGATGAAGGTGGTAAATCAAATCAGGCTGTTAAGTGATGATTTGCCAGATAAACGAGTAGTGGAAAAGGTGTTGATCAGCCTACCTGAAAAGTTTGAAGATAAGATATCATCTCTTGAAGATTCCAGGGATTTGTCTGTTATCTCCTTGTCTGAATTAGTTAATGCTCTGCAAGCTACATAGTAAAGGTCTAATTATTCCGTTCTCCTTGTGGTTGAAGGTGACTTACTTGCTAAGGGAAAGCATAAAGCTCAAGCGAGCTATGCTGTGAAGAAAACAACTAATGAAAACAAGGAAGCTGAGAATCAGAAAGGTGCTGGTAAAGGGGGTAAATATCAAGATTGCCACATTACAAAAGAAAGGCACATTCACCAAAGTGGTGTTGGTTCAGGCCATGAGTGCAATGTAGTGTCTGCAAACAATTTGGCTATATAGAGAAAGTTTGTAAAAACCAAAAGGAAAAGCCAAAATCATAGCAAACCAAAGTTGCAGAGAATCACCAGTAGGATGAACATTTGTTCACAGCTTTGAACCTGAAGGTCTGCAGTAGTGATGAAGCTTGGCTATTGGACAGTGGTTGTACCCATCATACGACCTCCAATCCTAAAATCTTTGTTGAGTTGAATGATGTATATAGATCAAGAGTGTGTTGAGGTCAAGGATGTTGGTGAAATCTTTGTACAGACTGTTGGAAATTTACTTAATCATGTACAGCGAAAACAAAATAATTTTCAATTCCCACCAAG